TATATATATATATATATATATATATGTATTTTGTTAAATTTAATTACTTAATTAGGTCATTAAATTGTATATCTTATCATAAATAACCATTTCATCTTGCGTTATAATAATAATAATAATAATAATAATAATAATAGTAATAATAATAATGATAATAACTGGAAAAATTGCTATTCCTGCAAAACAGCCATTAGAATGCTAAACTACTAAACTGTTGCAGAAATTATATTAAATAGAAGAAAAGGTAAATGCAGAGGCAAGGTGAAGCCAACAGCAGAAACATGTCAGGCATGTTATTAATTAGCAGCAAACAGAAAAGCTTAATTCCTGTCCAGAAAGAGAGCAGAATTAAGCCACTGTTGGAAATATAGGCGAAGGTGAAGTAATGTAAAATAACAAAAGAAATTTAATCCAGAAATAAGCTAAACTTGGAAGGAAAAACTTTGGTAAAGTGTTAGGAATGAGCAGAAAGAAAAGCTTAATGGCATTCCTGAAAATAGAGGAATCAGAGAGAAGTGAATGGCAGAAGCATGGCTGATTATAAATTAGAAAAAAACTAACTCTTAAGTTTAGAAATGCAACACAGGACCATAAGAATAATAGTACAATATATACAACCCAGCTGCCTTTAATTTGAGTGCTAGAAGGGTCTGAAGATGTCCACCGCCAAATTTCATGTTTGTACATTAAATTGCTTGGGAAAGGCATCCATTTGAAAACATGTTGTTCAGCCAATCTCTCCCCTTACAATCTTGGCTTAATCGCCTGTATGATGTTGTGACAAACAAACGCCGATAACTCTGGCATAATAAGTGGTATCCATATAATTCTTGCATCGTTTAATTTATGACTGATAGGGGAACAAACTTTTAGGCCTGTTTATCATGTTTCTACCAAAAACTGTATGGCCACGTTGATGATGTAAAAATGTGGTTTGTTTTTAAAGATTTCAATCTGACACCTTTTCTCAGAATCAATGTTTTCAGCTGTTTAGCTGACTTGTTTCATGTGCCCAAACAAGTCAGCTAAGCAGCTGAACCATAGATGATATTGAAAAATCTTTCAATGGGAGTGATAGAAGGGTCTGAAGATGTTCTATACCAACTTTCAACGTTACTGTCCTGAGACAGATTTCTCTATAGGCATTTATACTTTAACAGAAACAATTGGGACCTCTTCAAATATCTTGATGACATTAGCCTGATAATAATTAGATGAACAAACCCATAGCGTGATCCCTGGCAGTGTGATACAATTTGTCTGATGAACTGTTTTGATCCCAAAAAAAATTAACTGTACATTTGCTGCCTTGTTTATTAGATTATGGGCCACATGATTCACAAACTTAATGACCTCAGTGACTGAACTGCAGATGGCTATTTAAAAACAATAATTAAATCTGCAGTATACACTAAATGCAGGGATGGATGTTTAACTGTGGTGCGATTGACCATAGCTGGACATAAATAAATTGTTGGAGTAAAAATCCCAGTGGAGGTTGACAATCTAGGCCTAGAAAGAAAAGCCTGTACAGAGATTAGTTTCAAACCTTTGCATTTTTAAATCCACTAGGCTCAATCCAAACACAGCAAACCGGTCAGGAAGTTAAGACAAAGGGAAAGTGTTTCATCAGTTGCCATGATAAGTGCTGTCCAAATAGTGCTGGCAAAAAGAAAGGAGGTGAGGAAAGTTGGATGCTTCCTATCAACAACTCATTTAGCACAGGGTCCTAATAATGTTACTATCTGGCTCTTAGCACCCATATGGATTCCCACAATCCTTTGCATGACAAGATGTATTAACACAGCCCACCAAACAGAGTTTAATATATTTTTTATGTGTACTCTGTATGACACAAGGAAAAATACACAACTTTATATGTATTGAGTTTAATAATGGAGAGCTTCAGTTGTTTTTAGCTACATTTATGCATCTGCCTTTTTTTTTCTTTTTCAGATGGCTGTATTTCCTATTTGATTAACATCATCAATGTGCATTTCTGTTGCATAAGGACATCTAAGAGGCTAGAGGCTCTTTAGATTTGGTAAAGCAGTCCAGATTTCCTTTTTCTAGCCATAAAGGTGTCCTTACTGTTGACACCATGAGAGGTGAAGGAACAGGAGCAACAGACAGGGACCAATAACTTAGTTAAGTGAACAGGATGAAGGACAACCAGGCTAGATTTTTACTTTACGGACCTCCACTATCCACCTCTTGCTACAGTAAGCATCTTCAGATGTACAAAACCTTCTGTAATCTAAAAAAAAGAAGAAAAAAAAAGATTTCGGATGTTAATGATGGTTAGATTCCTGTAGCATTTGAAGTTGTTCATAAACACAATATTAAGCATATATTAAAGTTAGAATGATGCAGTAATGTGGCCATCAATAAAGGTGTTTGTTTACTAGTGAGTTCCATGTTAGATTAATCAAACTGCAGCCATTTCTAACTCATACTCAAGTTATCAGAAGAAAGTCTGAATTAATCAGATGATAAGTAAAAGCTTCTGATCTAATAAGTTGAAGGCTTTATTTACCTCATATTAAAAGATGTTAAAGGAAATCCTCTTTCTGCTGAGAAACAAGGATGGATGTAAAAAATTGAGAAACAGGAATAAAATATAATGAAGAGTGGTCAAAGATCAAAAGCAGTACTTAGGTTTTAAAGAAGAAAAGAGGAGCAAGAACATGGTGGTGTATCTAACAAACCATGAACCCTAAGAAATTAAGTGATGACACACTTTTTATTGCATTTCAGAGATATTAGATATAATCAATTTTATATGAAGAAACATTACAGGGGGTCCTAAACACTTGTTTTCTAAGAGTTAAAATGTGTTTTATTAAGCCATTGTTATTCCTAGTAATATTTATTCACTAAATTCCCTTTCATTGACAATCTCTCTAGAATATTTAGCTCTCCTAGAAACAGTCTTCTAAGCAAAAAGCTTATTTTTAGTCTGACTTTTACTTTAGTATTATAATCACTGAGTTATATTCTGCAAGCTTACTGATTAAGTTTTAGAATATTACTGTCACAATTTTCATTTACATTTGTTGTTCCTCACTATACGCTGCTCTTATAGCAATGGTTTAGTTGATGCTTGGTGAATGAAGGCACTGGTTGACTTAAAAGTAGAGATTTCACAAGTAATGGACATGCACAATATTTAGTGTCATAGAAAATCTCAAAGTTAAAACCAAAAGTGTAAACTATGCCCAATCTGACAAAATTAAAGGCTTTAAAAAAAAAAAATCAGCAACCACAAAAGGAATATAAAAGTCATTAGCTATGTTATTCTACTACATGCTTAAATTTGTATTTAAGCAAACAGTCTTTAACCTAAACCTTTTAACTAGTGTTTTAAAACCCATTTTTAAAAAGTATGCTTTTCCGATAAGGGGTGGGGTTAACAATGAAACTAAATAAATATTTTAGAATCCCTCTAAAGTAAAAATTAAAAGTCAAACACTAAAATTGATCAAAAATGCCTTAAAATCTTAATTTGTTGAATAGGAGGAGCCTCACTGTAGTGAGAGAGCAGAAAACTGCTGAGTGTGGTTTTTCATTAACACCATTGCTGAGCAGTTCTGTGTCACGCTGTTACAAAAAAGAAGAAAAATATTTATTTCACTTGGAATTTACTCCTTACATAACGGCTTTTACACTACTGTGGGAGTCATACAGAAAAGTGCATACAGGGAAGATTACACATAATAAACAAAACCATAAACTATCTACGCATATTTTCCTCCATCACTGCGGTCTCTTCTTTCTTGGGCAGGCTGTATACTGTGATGGAGATATCTGTGTGTTCAAAGACCTGTATCAGGATCTCTGCCACCCTATTCCACTGCAGTCGGTCCAGGCCACATCCAATACTGAGAGGGAGACACAAGATAAACATATAGCTTAATGATTCCCGGAAAAAACACAAGAATTAGTGAATATATTCAGCACATAATGCAACAGTTTCCACAGACGTTACTACAAACCGAGGCATTGATATTCTCTTGACATTATTCTGTAGGCAATGAGACTTCATGTCTTCCAGACTTTTTCTCAGGTTTTCATACGTGGGTCTCTGGCTGGCTTTCTTCTTCGTGATCTGAGAGGATAAAGTTACAGTAGAGTTAAAAAAAGGCAAAGTTACACGACTGAATACTGGAATTATTTTTTATCGTATCATAATGATTAGCCATGAAATATTTACCAGATAGTAGATGAACCGTCCATGGTGAGCCAGTACTGCACACTGTCCAGGTACCTTCTCTATTAAGATACATGGGAAAAAAAAGACACCAAAGATTAGACGACTGTAAAAAAGACATTTGCATGAACTGTATTAAAAGAATACAAAATTCCTTCAGACTAATTGATGAGAACTAGTGATGGGTCCAGCAACACAGATGCGTCGGTGCATACATAGAGCCCATAGAGCAAAACACTGTATCGGTGCGGGTGTCATTTAAGAAAGTAGTGTGACCGATACAGGAGTTGTTTCTAACTGACTGACACACTAAACTATGTTTAAAAACGTTTCTGTCAACATGATGCATCTGCTAAAAAAAGTGTCTCATCTTTTGCGGTTTATAATTAAAATTCAGCCTAAAAGAAATAAGAACGTTAATTTCTCGTATCCTACTTTTCCTCTCTGTTATCACTCAATTTATCTGAAATAAAGTTAATTTCAACTTGATTTTAATTTATTAACTGTTTTACTTTACTTATTATTTTAAAATTCTGATTTAAAAACCTAGTCCACAAGCTTCTTATTCACATTTTCCCCTAAATGATTACGTTATGATATATGTTTACATTATTTATTGGCTGCATCTAAAAATATCAAAGATATTTTCAATTTAAACATAGATATGAAATAATACAATATAACCTACAATAACTTCAATTATATCATTGAACTATATCATCAAATCAATTCATTTTAGTGTCGAATAAGCTCCCTGTAGTGTCTTTAAATGTCCAGCAGGTGTCAGTATTCTGTAAAACAGTATCAGTGCTGGATCAATACAGTTTGGCAATGTGCTGAAACACTTCGAGATGCCTCATTAATCCATCACTAATCAGAACTATTTCTCCCTCTTTAAATAGTCTTAGATTTCCAAATCCTCTTAGTTAAAATTCAAAAATGATACAAATATTTTTAGAGGTTTTGTTTTTCTCTTTTTTTATTTTATCATCCTAAAATATTTGGTCAAATATCCTTACATTTGAGTTATATCCATCTATAAGCTCCTCAAACGTTTTTTGTAATCGTCCCAAACAAAACTTGTAACTGAACTGGTTTGTTGCTGCTTCTCCTCCATGAAACTATGGGCATTGAAACAAACAATTGGATTTTTTTTTTTCACCAGGCCAAACATGTTTATTTCCCCCAAAGTGAGAAAAAAAAACCATTGAGCTTTTGTCATTAAAGTGTTTAAATTACACTACCATAAAAATGCTGTAATCTGGCTTTACAGGATGGTCTTAGATAACAGCTGACTTTTTCTTTGAGGGGTTAGAAAGTCCATATCAGTATGATATGAAATGTCACTCAGCATCTTAACAAGGGTTATTGCTTGTTAGGGGTTGATACAAACATTTCGTACCAAAACATATCCATCTGTGGTGCGCCTAACTTATCTCCTTCTTGAGTTATTCAATGCTTGGTCATTCCCATGCATCATATCACAGGAGGGAAGGAGGGAAGATGGTTTTAGATGCTTTGCCTTAAACACAGTAACAGGATTCTATCCAACCAAATCAAATTAATCTTTTTTTCACATTTCATTATAAAAATGAAAAGTTACATATGATGTTTTAAACACCTAGCTTTGATTTCAATCATCCCCTTTTAGAGGTGACCCTAATTTAAAGGGCAATAAAATTCAAGGTGATAAACATGTTTGGAAAACAATCAAGTTTCACAAGAAACAATAAAAATATAACACACTAAACAAAGACTCAATTTATCAGAAGAAAACCAGATGATGATAAGCAAAATGAATCAGATGATGATAAGCAAAAGCTTCTGATCTAATTAGTTGAAGGCTTTATGTACCTCATATCAAAACACGTTAAAGGACACAAACATTATTAAATAAACAAATCCTCTTTTTGCTGAGAAACAAGAAGGATGGATATAAAAAAAATGGAGAAACAGAAATAAAATATAATGAAGAGTGGTCAAAGATCAAAAGCAGTATTAAGGGTATTAGGGGAAAGGGGAAATTAAGTGTTTACTAAACAAAGAAAGCTAATTTATTAATGATGAATAGAAATGTATGAACACTGAGCTATTGAAGCCCAACAAGAATAGTGGTATAAAAAATAGGCTTTCAACAAATTTGATCCTCAAACATAAAACCTGATTAAAAGATAAGATTAATTAATCACCCAGCCCTAGTTTAGTATTGGTAACTAATAAAGCTGTGAGTCAAACTTTCAAAGACAGGATATGTTCTGAGCTTTACCACATTATCTCAAAGGTAAAGTTTATGTAATCCTCTGACTTTCAAAACAAAATTATTTAAAAAATGTACATTTGATCTAATTTGCATTATATAATTTAGGTCATTCTGACTGTCCTAAAACAGGAAACACAATGATTAAATGTCATATGAAGCATGAAAAGCGTTATGTGGCTCATAAGCTTTTCTGCTGACTGGTATTCAGAGTTCTGCTGGAAACAAGGTTAAGCCTTGAAACCATCTTAATGGAAAACATCGACCAGTTCATCATGTTCACACGAGTGGGAACAAAATCACTGCTAAAGACCTTCAATATTCTGTCCAACTGCATTCTGTCCTCTTTGGAAATCAATATTATAATAATATAATAATATTTTATCATTGCCAGTTTCTCCTGAAAAGCAGTGTTTTCATATATGGCTCAGATGTTTTCTGCAGAGGTATGCGTTACAAGTGAGCCCTTATGAATAAAACCAAAAGCAAAGTTAGAGCACAAAACAAATATATATATATTGATGTTTAGTAATTAAAACAAAACCTAATCTGGTGTCTCCATTGTTTAAGGGGACATTTGTCTTTTTTATCCTAAATAAAAATGTACGAACAAATATGATGGGCGCCTCAAGGATAGTTCCTCATATATCCTTTATACCTTATTATTTCCATTCAGAACAACATTAAAATTCATGCTAAAATGGAAAATCTGACAAAAGCACGTTTTATATCAGACATAATAACTTCCATCACAGGAGAATAAATATCACCTCATGGCTTTTTATATAGCTGGTCGGACTTACTCTGCTCTTTTAACCTTTCCACTCCTTTGAACTTCTTCTTAAACATCACTGCTATCCCCGCCCCCATGCGGATATCCTCACTGATGCAGTGGGCCAGGGCTTCATCCGGTGGGCAGGAGAACAGATCCCCGGTGACATACTTCAGTTCCAAGCTGCCTTCTGATAGCTAGCCACCAGGGGGCAGCATTTCACCAGAGTTAAAATGTCAGAGCAGCAACAACAGCTATAATAGGAAACTGTGTAATTTTAAACATTACCTCTACTTTTCTAGTTGAGCATAGGGCCTGACTTTCAGACGACATTTGCAACCATGAAATAAGATCCTGTTTGGTGGCTTGATTCGGTGTTAAAACCTGTGAACCCGTCTGTCTAAACGAACACGCTAAACCACGCAGGATTGTTTGCATCTGCTTCCGAGATTAACACTGCTTTGATAGCTCGACCCGGAACTTTAAAGTTATAATAAAAAGACGTTTGAGGCAGGCCACGTATTTTAGTATCTAACACACAATTTGCTTTCAATTTCTTTCAGCAGGACCAAAGCTAAAACATCGAGAATCTCGCGAGAATAGCAACACCTGATGAGAATGGAGATGGGTTCGCCCCAATTTCACACCGGGGAAGAAAGCGGCGCTACTCTGTAGGCGGAGTTTGATTTCAGCTACAGCTGTGACGCTTAGATGTTGACTTCAATGGGCGCATTGAAAGTACTGACCTTGGTTGTGCCTAAACGTATTTGCTCCCAATGCAAACCGGGTTAACACAATTATTAAGGAGCAATAAATTAGGTAGACAAGAACAGTTTAAATCAGGGGTTAAGTGTGACCTGATCATGCAACCAGACAGTTATTCAATTTGCTGCATCAGCTGGTAAAGTAAGAACATCTAAATTATCTGAACTATTGCCATTAATGCTTTATTACATTTTAGAAATGTGTTCAAAACAAATAAATCCCTAAAAATATTAAAGATATAGTTGAAATGCTTTGTATTTTTTGCATGTTTTGTAAGTTTGAAGGAGGCAGGTGGTCAAATCCTGCCAGTAACTGAAGAAGACCTTCAGCAAAACTTGGTGAAAACAGCCTCTCAAGTTTCATTTACCACAATAAGCCACATGGTATGAACTGAAGACCTCAATGTTTGTACTCCATTGCCAACCCTAAATACAAGATAGATTTGTCCCAAATGTACTCACTAAATGAGGTAATGGGATTCTGTTTTGTGGTGAGATAACATAAAGTTAACAGGTATATGGATCAGCAATATTTCTGGAGGAAGAAGAAATGCAGCACACAAGGCAGACAACAGTGAAGCATGTGGCTCAGTTATGCTGTCGGGCTCCTTTGAAAAGAAAAAAATGAGCCGTAGATGATGCACCATCATCTATGATTGTGCATGCTGCAACATAGATACTATATCTATTGCAACATGATAAAAACACTACATGGCTTCCGGCCTATTGTTTTTTTTTTAAACAAAAGGTCCAGGAGGGAAGCATTTTAAAGGAAAACACTGGTGAAAACATCTACTTTTTTTCAGAGTCAATCCATGCAAAACTGTATATTGTATAACCTACATGTTTTGTACTCATTAAGTCAATGAAAAAAAGGCTTGACCAGCTAGAGAGAGAATGAGAGAAAAAAAACTATGTAAAAACACTAACTGATGTAAAAAGCCAAAAACGAGAAAAATATTCCTGATCATAAAGATTTTGCAGGAGGATGTCAAGTAGCCCAAATAATATGAAACCAACATACACAGAATATAATAATTATAGCATCCAACTAACAATTTTGTTCTGTGGTGGAAAATTTCCCTTTAGTCATGGAGGTCTGCTCATGGAAGAATTTATACTTCAACAGCTAAAAAGAAACATTCTGCTGCTTATCAACTATAAAAATTAATATAAGCTTATCAACTATAAAAAAATAAAATTTCTTTGATAATACATCAGGATACAAAAAGTAGGAAAAGATTACTTCCCTGCTTATTCTACTTCATTAGTGTAATAACAGACCAATTGTTAACCTGACCTATTCAAATCATTAAGGGTAGACCTTATACTGGGCTACATGTAGTTTGGTTATTCATATTAAAAGTGGTAATGCTTCCACTTTGCCAGAAAACTTTTAAAATTAGCTGTTTTCTCAGTCTTATTGAGATTTCCCATTTATTATTATGGATATGAGTACATCATTTGCCAGTTTTGCCTAATGATGCCAAAAAAGAGAGATTATATCCCTTTATTTTAATTTCATAACTACACTTTGCATAAGGTCCCTTTTTTTTCTTGCCTAAGCATATCCACCAAATATGTCGGTGCTCATTCTGACCAGCAACACTTTAAATTGTGTCTGCAAAAAAAAAACACTTGGAACACAACCAGACTTATATGTCTTTGTGGTTCCATGTTCTTTAAAAGTGTAAACTTCCCTTAGATTCCTGTATTACATTACTCCACAAAGGTTTGAAGTCCATTATTTCAGTGTTATGGATTTTTTTTTTTTTTTGTTTCTTCTGTATTTTGATAGAGCCTTTATATGAATACTTTTTAAAACCTGCCAAATTTTGTAAAGTGCAACAACCCAAATTTTAACAAAGCTATTTTTTCCAGTGTGTTCCAAAGAAGAAACAACAATATGAATATGCTGTAGTAATCTGTGCACAAATGATGCTCTCTTCACATTTCCACCTGCCCCCTCATTTATGCATGCCCAGGAACATTCCTGGCTAATACAGGTTTTGTTTGCAGTCACAATATCCAGTGATTGCACAGACTGGGGCAACTCTGCGTATAAGCCAACAGATTAGCAATATGCCCTGGCCAGTTTCAGCTGGTTTATCTTGTAGTTTCCCTTTTGTTTGTTTATGTAATCCCCTTTAAATCATAGAGTGTTCTGACAGCTTGTCCCTGAATATGATGCCAACATTTACTTCTCCATCATTTTTAGAGGGAAACCCCTCGGCTGCAGCTTATTATCAGTTCTTGGTGGGCAATTTGCTGGCTGAATCACTTAGTTTTGTTCTCTTGCCTTCACAAGAAAAAAGAAAACCCAATATTCTACTGAGCTTAATGTCAAACAGGAATATTTTTCATGAATAAATACCCACAAGTAAGAAAAAAGTCATCTTTAAACTTTTTTATTGAACAACATTTATTCTTGATTAATGACACAATCAACAGAACATAGAGTATGTGTTTATGACTGTAAAACAAACCTGTAATAAGATAGGCAGTAATTATTTACACTGTTCTTCAGTGTGTCACGGTTTCATTGAATCTGTAACTAAATGCTTTATAAGCAACAAGAACATATATGTCTAACTTCTGGACATAATTTATTTATGTCTTTTATAAACATTTATATACAAAATCTTTATGGTTATGTATGAGTTCATTAGGATTTCCAGCCTTAGAAGTTAGCACTGCGTCTTCGCTCATTGATCCAGTCGCCAGGGTTCACATCCATCTGCAGCATCTTCATCACCCATTTATCCCTGCGTGCTCCATCAATAAACTCATCCAGAGAGAGCTCACCTTGGTGACAAAATAAGAGGCATTAAAAATGGTTAAACCAGCGATAAGCAAAAGCAAAACCTTATATAGGAACTTAAACTTGATGCTAAAGCAGGCAAACAGACACTCTTAAATGACACATAAAAGAAAAAAACTCTCACCATCTCCATTTTCATCGACCAGCTCAAATATACGGTCAACAACCTGGTCTGGTGTAAGCAGATTACATTCTTCATCCAGCTCTCCATGGCAGGCTTTCTTTAGCCGATAAATAGACTGTAAGTGACAGCAAAGGGTTTTGCAATGATTAACAATGATTTTATTTTCTAAAAGCAAGGGTTGCAATCCCCAGCGGATCGACACTAATTTAAATATTTATGTGATTTAATGGAAATATTACCTCAACAATTTCAAGAAGTTCTGTTTTGTCAATGCATCCACTCCCATCTTTATCGTACATTTTGAATGTCCATTTAAGCTTGTGTTCCAGCTTCCCTCTGAGAACTAAGTTCAAAGCTGCTACATACTCAAGAAAATCTATGGTGTTGTCCTGTGAAAATAGAGAGTTCAAATGTTAAAAAATCAGAATACTTGAGAAGAAATTACAATCAGGCAACAAAAATAAAAAAGCAAAAAAAATATCAAACAATATACGCTTATTCAGAATGCTTTAAGAAATCTGAAGAAATAAGATATCAAAAAGAAAAACTTTACATATTTACTAAGAAGAAAATTGAATAATTAAAAGTACAAATTAAAAACGTGCTCACTTTTGAGAAATTTCTCTTTTCAGCTCTACTTGAGCTTATATCATTTAAATGCAGTGTCTTGCTTCAACAGCAATTCCTTTTGAATCTATCTATGCCTGACAAATTTCAACATTAGAACTGATAACACCAGAGTCCAGTCCTGATGTACTTACTCCGTTCTTGTCGAAGGCTCGAAACATGTTCTCGATGTAATCTGCAGCCTCCTTGTTATCAGTGACCCCAAAAAAACCCTTAAACTCGTGCATGAATAGCGTTCCACTCGGACATTCCACAACAAATTTCTTGTACCATTCCTGCAGCTCTGCCACATCGATTTCCTTGTCGGGGTCACTTTCCTCGCTCAGGCGCTGACCCATGATGGGAAGACTTTCTCTTACTCCCCCAAAAGCTAAATTATTTCTTACATTACAAACAACAAGCTTAAGCTTTGTAACTTTGGTTTTTTTTTTTATGTTCCTTCTCTGGAGTTTGGAACCCACAAATATTTGTTCACATTTACTAAACAGCTTTTAGCTAATCACCAAAGATAAAAACAATCAAAAAGGCATAAAGATCCATCGAAGCAGAGCAGTTATACGCCTCTTTCTTGTAGCAAATCCCTTCTGAAAGTGAGGATGAGATACAGACTGCTATGGGTCACATGGTAAGGGATTAGAAATGAAGACCTGTCCAAATCAATTAGTTCATACAAAGATCATAAAGGGTTGTCTTTTGTGCTGCTTCATACACTCATTACAAGAAACAACTGAAGATAGTCTGCAAGCTTCCCAAGTCTTGGATCAGTAAGGGTCCAAGCAGCATTGTTTATGTAACGCATCCTCCATAATTGTTGGGATATCTTTACGGGAAAATGTTTGCCTTTTTAATGGTAATGTTTTTTGACTTAGACATACTTATTTTACTTTCCTTTTCCATTATCTGTCTTAGTGATGTTAACATAAACATAGCTCCTAGATCCTCTGCTGTTTATTTTCACTTTTTCAACAAGTATTGCTCTGGCTATTACCTGTTATTTTGACATGGTTCTTGAACATTATGCCGAAAAAGTAAACGCTGTGCATCTTCAAACTGCTCCTTTAGATAATAAAAAATATATATATATATTTCTCGGTTAATATTTATCGAAGTCTTTAATCATGGGTCTGTTGTTTTGGGTGAAATTTGTGAGTGAGGGTTAAGCCCTTGGATCAGAGGCAAACCCTTACATGAATTTTCTCCTGATGGTTTACTGTCCCATACATTTTGAAGGTGGCTTATTGGAAAAAAAAACTTTACCCAAGTCCTCTGCACCTATCCTAAATCGTCTAGCTGAATGTTATTCATTTCTGTTGGAGAGAAGAAGCTTTGTTGACCTATCATGCACCAGGCCTGTACTTATGGAGCACTTTTTTTCTTTTTGGAGTTTTTAGGGCTTGTTTTTTTATAGAAGGCTGACAGGAAGGGGGGTATAAGAGAGGGGGAGAGACATGCAGCAAAGGACCAAAGGTCGGATTCGAACCATGGTCAGCCGCGTTGAGGACTAAGGCCATACATGGGTTGTGAGCACTAACCACTGCATCACCTGCACGCCTCCTTATGGAGCACTATTATCAAAAGAGTCAAAGCACTTTTTTCTGCATTAAGTCATTCACACACACATTCACACAGTAATGGTGGTAAAGCACATTGTAGCCACAGCTGTGCTGGGGCAGAATGATAGAGCTGAGGCTACCATAAAATTTTCACCATGAGGGAATAGCAGTTGGTGGTGAGAGGGTCACCAGCTGAGGTGGTCCTACTACCTTTATGACTTTCTTGGTAGCTCTTGAGCTTTAATTGCAGCATTTGGACCCTAATCTAAAGTTCTTGAGGATGTGAGATAAGTGTTATGGTAGTATATGTGAAGTCCCACAGATGCATAAATAATGTCAGATGACTGCGTAGGTTTCCTTAGAGGTAACCATGGTCAAGCTTTCTTCTGCTTTAAGCCAACTATTCTGCATTTGCATTTCAGTCAGAATGACAGAGAGAAATCAGCTGCTCTGTTCTTATTAACAATTTCTTATCTTCATCCATCCATTGTCTATACCCCCCTAGTCTTTGCAGTGTTTAAGGGAAGCTGGTGCCCATCTACAGTGCTAACTAAAATGAAACACATTTTATCTAATCACTCTTCATCCTAGACTAAAGTAACTATGACATTTGAAGCTAAACCTTTTGGCCAGAAGTTTACGCGTTGTGGAGAAGATTGATAGCAATTCTTTCAAAGTTCAGGTATTATGTACTCAACATATTCAGAGAGGATTCAAGAGGATTTAACGGAAACATAAAAAAATGAAAAATTAGGATTTAGTGTAGTCAATATGAAGTGTATCCCTTTGTAGAGAAGCAATATATTTTATACTTAACAGTTTTAAATCAAAGATGATGTAAAGACATGAATTATTACATTGTAAGAACATGAGCAGATAAAAACAAAGAGTCTGATGTGGCATTTATAATCTAGTCCCAGAATAGGAAGTTCCTAACCTGTCTGATGATTCACTGAGGTCAAGTGTTCAGTTTTCCCTGAAAGCACTAATTACATGTCTGCTGTAGTTATCTGCCTAAAGGCCACCATAAATGTGTTTGTGCTTGTTAGAGGCACTCAGTGACATAATCACTGTGTCACTCCTTTTAAAAATACATTTAGAGGAAATCCTGCAGCACTGTATGTAGGTTAGGACTGCCCCGGCCCATTATATGTGCTGACAGGAGGGATGGAGATAATCTTAGCTTAGATGTGTCAAGGCCGTTGGGAAGTCACTGGATGTTATCCTCTGGTGATTAAAATGATTCATACCCTCTGGTCTTACACAACTGATATTTCAAACTAAGCTGTTTGAGTTTTCTCTCTCAAAAAAACTCATATGGTCAATTTAGTTCTGTACCTGAGGGTTGTTGTGTTTACTCCTATTTCTGCCCGTTCAGTGAGACTTAAAAAAAGACTATTATTGTAGGGATCAGGCTGTTTTCACTATAATAAGGTGGGTAGTAAAAATTTACTAGAGCTTGTGAACATGAAGTTGTTACCAAAGATTTGGGTGAAAGATTATTTTTTTTATTGAACATGCAGGGTTGGAGTGATATACTTTTACCTATATCGTGCACACTTGGTTTTCCCCGTGCCAACAATGTTAAAACTTGCTATATAAATAGTTTTGATAACTTTAAAAAAAACTAAATAAAATTTAAAAAACAAACCTTTTACCTTCGTACAAGAGAGAAAAATATAAAAAAAAAATATAATTATTTGACAAAATCTTCAGTGCTGTGGTATATTTTTGGAATTGTAACAATGTAATTTTTACTTCTTGAATTAGGCATGTGATCTGGAAAACTGAGTTATTAGCCAATACATTTCTGTTTACCTCGGCGTTTAAATTGAATGTTATGCAGTGGTGCAGCTCTCTTAACTTTTCTTCAATTTGAAAAGAGAATAGATGTCATATTGCTCAGACAGGCGAGAGTTGTTTTTACTGCTCTCCTTTTAACAATCTCTTGCTAGTCTTTCAAAAAGGTCAGATTTTTGGAGTTCTGTCAACAGAATCTCCCACTTGAACTGTAAACAAGAACTATAAATTATATTCTTTTCCCAGTCTCCGCAGGCTCAGGCGGACAGCCATGTCTTGTTATGCAGCTGTTCCATTTTCTTTCCATTTTGAGATGATGGATTGAACAGATGTAAGGAATGCGTTCCCTTATCAAATCTATCCTCCAGCATCAAGAAGCTGATCACAGACTTGAATGTCTCATCTAGGCTGAGTTTTAAAGAACAAAACATTTATTCTTGATTTGCAGATTTTCACAGATATTTGTTTCCTTTTACTTAACCTGCATCTTCCAATCTTTCAGCTGTAAAGCCAGATCACAGCACTCCATTAGATGGCCAAAGTTAGATTATTGTTACATACCTAAACCCTGCTTTTAACGTCTCTACATATTTATAGCTGACCATTTTGCTGTACCCTTTTTGTTTTGTCTTTGTGATACTTTTTGTTGCTGGATTTATACTGAGGCTTAATTAAGACAACCCTACATAACTTTTGACATAAGTAGCATAATTTAAGAAACATGAAGTACATTTTTAAGGTCAATATACAGCACTGTGCGCATATCGATACTCCATTCAGGATGCCCTTCTCAAAAACTTCTTTTAGGCTTAGACAAACTATTGTCATTTTGTATACACAGAGTGCACACAAAACTTATATCATTAAGGTCCGATCCATCCCTGTATGACGTGTCCTAGAGCATCACTTTACAGCAGTCTGAACCCCTTAAACACGAGTGCTAAGCTAAAGCTTGTTGCTGGAAAACAAGAGATTTAAAACACCTGGACAGACATTTTGCTGATGTAAGAT